TATGAAGACGAGAACAGCAGGTACATCAGCATGGCATGTGCATTAAAGGTAATGTGTTTTGTATGCAAAAGGAAAAGTGAGAATGTTATAACTGTATGGTTTCTTCAAAATTAACTACTTATTAGTCATTTGTTCCTACTTTGTTTCAGATCTTAAGTCTACTTGCTTGTTGGGTGGAGAATCCTAACTCAGAAGTGCACAAGCGACATTTAGCTAGAGTGCCAGATTATTATTGGATTGCTGAAGATGGCTTGAAAATTCAGGTTAGGAAGATGACAGCAATAATATTTGGAAAACCATTAGAAACTTGTTAAGATTTTGTCGTTGGTTTGCTATTTTTTGATATTGAAACTGTAAGTACGTTGATGATAGACAGTGCTAACATTAGCTTAATTCGTAAACTGCAGTCCTTTGGCAGCCAGTTGTGGGATACAGCCTTTGCTGTACAAGCAATTATCTCTAGCAATCTAACTGACGAGTATGGGCCAACACTTGGTAAAGCACACGACTTCATAAAAGCTTCACAGGTTAAATATTAGTGGTAATAATTTTGTAATAGACACTTTTTGAAGATTTTTTCTTACAAAGAACTAAAATACTGTATGGCTTTGTTTTAACAGGTCCAGCACAACCCTTCTGGCAACTTCACTGCTATGTATAGACACATTTCTAAAGGTGCTTGGACATTCACCACACAAGATCAGGGCTGGCAAGTCTCTGACTGCACTGCAGAAGGTTTGAAGGTAACACTACTACAACTCTATTCAACGTAAAAATGCAAGTAATTAATCATACATTCCTCTCAAGGTTGGTAGCAATGTTTCTCTTCTATAGTGTGCACTCTTGCTCTCACAAATACCACCAGATCTTGTTGGAGAAAAGATGGAAAAGGAGCAATTATATGATGCTGTCAATGTCATTCTTTCCTATCAAGTAAGAATTAAAACCAAATCACAACCATTAGCTATATGTTCATGGACTCTTCACTTTACTCTAAAAGAAACTTGTGTAACTGTTTGAGCCTTGCAAGTAAAGGAAAACTGGTAAATTTTGTTATAGACTACCAGCAAACTCTTCCTAATAAGATCAACCATTTGTTTCATATCTCCTTTTATCTATGATTGAATAATCTTAGTTAAATTCTTGTTCCACCTCAAATGCAGAGTAACGAAGGGGGTTTTCCTGCTTGGGAGCCTCAAAGAGCATACCGTTTTTTAGAGGTAATTCATCAGATAAATCATTGCCACCTTTCTTTATTTACTCTTGAAAGTTGGTTTCTAACATGTAATACTCCTGTTGCAGAAGATTAGTTCTACAGAGTTCTTTGAAGCTGATGTTGTAGAAATGGAGTAAGATTTATTTAATATATGATTTTGAACAAGAATATTGGTCCCTAATTTCTCTTAACAACAATAGTTTCCATCATTCTAGGTATGTAGAATGTACTTCTTCAGCAATGCAAGGTCTTGCGCTCTTTAGAAAACTGTACCCCAAGCATCGAAGGTCTGAGATAGACCATTGCATTTCAAGAGCAGTTTCTTACATTGAAGAGATACAAAATCTAGATGGTTCATGGTGAGTGTGACAGACATCATACATCCTCATTTTTGCCTCCATATAATTCACATATAGCTTGGATTTCCACTCATTTCAGTCACAATGCTACTACCATAGTAGCAGTACTATGCAAGCAATGTCTGGATTTTGTTTTGTTTATGTGTGCTGGGATTGTGATCAAATTAGGTATGGTAATTGGGGAGTCTGCTATACCTATGGTACATGGTTCGCTGTGAAGGGGCTGGCTGCGTGTGGCAAAACCTATCACAACAGCCCTACCCTGCGCAAAGCTTGTGAATTTTTATTATCAAAGCAGCTGCCTAATGGTGGATGGGGAGAGAGCTACCTCTCCTGCCGTAATAAGGTATGACATAACATGTCCAAGAGAACAAAATAAGGACAGCCCTTTTTTTTTTTTTTTTGGATCAGCTGGACGGCTTTTTTTTTTTCTTAGGCATCAAGTAATGGAATTATAAATCATCATTCAAAGGACAGCTTTTCAATACCAAGAATACTTTCTATGTGACATACCTTACTTTCCTGGCATAGGTTTACACGAACCTCGAAGGCAACAGAGCAAACTTGGTACAAACAGCTTGGGCTTTGTTATCACTCATTAACGCAGGACAGGTTAGTGTAGAATACTCTTATGTTAAATGTTTGTCTTAATTTGATAAGAAAATTGGTTCCAGCCATCATATTACATAAACAAAGATCTAGTCTACTAAGACACCTAACTGCTAAATCAAAAAAAAAAAAAAAAAAAACCTAGTCAAATAATCGAATTTTGTGTAAATTGACTTATCAAAATATCGACTAGCTTGTTCTTTGAATTTGACATCTGAATTGAAGATATTAAATGGGATGGCTAATGACCAGGCTGAAGTAGATGCTGGCCCCATTCATCGCGGAATAAAAGTCCTGATAAATTCACAAATGGAAGATGGTGACTTTCCTCAACAGGTAATCCATGAAAAAGCATTAAAGTCATCCTTTCCCCTTGACATTTAAAACCTTGACACTTTTTTCTGTTCTTCCTTTTCTAATGGAATATTAAACAGGAAATTACTGGAGCATTTTTTAGAACTGGTTTACTGAACTACTCAGCCTACCGGAATATATTCCCCATATGGGCACTTGGAGATTATCGTCGCCATGTTTTGCGTGCATAACTCTCTCAATCCTAATAAAAGGGATATGTTGTAGCAACACAACAAATGTAACCACAATAAGCTACAAGGCCTAATTCCGTGGTTTGAGTTAAATTCGATGTTGGGTCATGAACCATTAGGCAACAAGGGCGGGTTCAATTTTTAAGATAACCAAATTATTAGGTTTTAGGTCACGATTCACGCTAATAAGATATGAAGTTTTAGCTTCATTTAAATTTATCAACAATGTTGTTAGAGTTGGCCAAACGTCTAAATCTGCCTTTTAAGTATGGGGAAGGGACAGATTCACCATCATATTAAATACAAGGATAAAATTCCTCACTAATTAATTTGATAGGACTAATTTGATAGGACAAACGAATCAAAATTTAATTATTACCATCATATGGCATCAATTTTCATTTACTTTTTTACTTACGTAGCCCTTTTATCTGTGCTGGTGGTAATAGCAAATTGATGTCATATGATACTAGTAATTAAATTTAAGATAATTTGTCTAGTCCAATCAGTCGATATAGTGATTTGTTCCTATATTTAATTTGAGGGTGAATCTAACTCTGTCCTATACTTGAAGGGCATATTTGGGGTTTTGGGCATTTCGACTTTGTATCCAATGGATTGCATGTTTCTTTCTCCTCGTGTTGGTATTTTGTCTTTTGTAATTTGAAGTCAAAAGACACGTTTTTGGACTTCGATACAAATATAGAAAATGACTTATAGACTCCGGGGCTCCAACACATTTTTAATATATTTTTAATTTAATTATTAAAAATATAATATAAATATAATCAATTTAATTGATTTAGTTAATTTTTACATTTTGTAGTATGTTTGTATTTTTAAATTTATCTATTTTTAATTTTAAAAGTAAAAATAATAATTTTTTAAATAAATATATTATATAATGTATTAAATCAAAATGTGTATCGATTATTGTTCTCGTACATCTTAAAAAATTGAAGTAACGAGGATCTTGAATAATTTTCTAGGTCCATATAAGCTCTTCTATTCCAATTTTGATAAAAAAAAAAAAAAATCCCATCTTCAAGGATTGAAGTTATGT